TGAATTGAATCCTTTATAATTATGTCATGCACTTCTTTGTCCTTCCTGATTGTTGTTGGTTTAAAGTTTGTTTTTTTCTGATAAAAAAAAATAGGAACTCTTGTGCTTTTTCATTTTCCATTTGCATGGTAGATCTTTCTCCATTCCTTTACTTTGAGCCTGTGTGTGCCATTATATGTAAGATGCATCTCTTAAAGACAGCACATATATGGGTCTTGTCTTTTTATCCAGCTTGCCACTGTGCTTTTTAACTGGGGCATTTAGACCATTTACATTCAGGGTTAGTATTGATATATGAGATTTTGATTCCATCATCATGTTGTTGGCAGTTTGTTTTGTACTGTTGATTATGTAATTGCTTTAGATTCTCCACGAGTTATATGCTCGAGTGTGTTTTTGGGGTTGCAGGTGTTGATCATTTGTTTCCATGTTTAGCACTCCCTTAAGGACTTCTTATAAGTCTGGTCTTGCAGTAACAAATTTCCTTAGTGCTTGCTTGTCTGAGGAGGTTTTTATTTCTTCTTTGCTTATGAAGCCTAGTTTGGTAGAATATGATATTCTTGGTTAAAATTTCTCTCCTTTAAGAACGTTGAAATATGCCCCCAATCTCTTCTGGCTTGTAAGGTTGCTGTGGAGAGGTCTGCTGCTAGCCTGATGGGGTTTCCTTTGTAGGTGACTTGACCTTTCTCTCTAGCTTCTTTTAAGATTTTTTATTTTGCATTGACATTAGTCAATCTGATAACTATGTATTTTGGGTGGTGGTCATCTTGTATAGTATCTTACATTATCTTACAGGGATTCTCTGTATTTCATGAATTTGTATGTCTTCTTCTTTAACAAGAGTGAGGAAATTTTCATGGACTATGTTCTCAAACATATTTTCCAAGTTGCTTAGTCTCTCTCCTCTTTCAGGAATGCCAGTGAGTCACAGACTTGGTCTCTTTACATAGTACTATTATATATTTCTTAGGGATTTTGTTGACTTTCAAAAATTCTTTTTTCTTTCTTTTTGCTGACTGAGTTGATTGGAAGAACCAGTCTTCAGGCACTGAGCTTGATCCATTCTGCTCTTAATGCATTGATTGTATTATGTAATTCTTGAAGTGCATTCTTCAGTTCAAGAAGTTCAATTTGGTTCTTTCTTAAAATGGCTATTTCATCTTTCAGCTCTTGGATAATTTAACTGTATTCCTTGGATTATTTCATCTTTCAGCTCTTGGGTAATTTAACTGGATTCCTTGGATTGGATTTCAACTTTCTCCTGGATCTCAATGAACTTCCTTGCCATTCAGATTCTGAATTCTGTCTGTCATTTCAGACATCTCAATGTGGTTAAGAACCATTTCTGGGGAACTAGTATGTTTTTTTGGAGTAGGGGGACACACTGGTATTCTGAGTTGCCAGAGTTCTTGTGCTGATTCTTTCTCATGTGTGAGGGTTAATTTTCCTTTAACTGTGATGTAAGTTGAAAACAGTTGGCTTCATTTCTGCGTGTTTTCAGAAGGCCACTACTATACAGAATCTTTATTATTGTGCCTGCATTTTTGCCTTAGGTTTCACAGGTGCTGTATACTGGCAGGGTATTTTGTTGTTGTATTTTGGGCTGCAGTCCAGTAGGTGGTGTTTAAGAGTGTTGGTCTGTAGACAGGCTCTTAGCCACTGGGTTCTTTTGTATTTTGGCACAGTTGGCAGTAGTGCTCTGTGGTGAGGGGAGAAGAGGTGACCCCCTCACCTGGTCTGCTCCTGGGGCTTGGAGGAGCACCTCTGATCAGTGACTCCATGCCTGCATTTCCTTTGTTAGGTGTTCTGGTCTGCAGGGCTGCCTCATGCAAGGGCCACAGCTAGCAGACAGTGCAGCATTGATCCTGTCGGGGTCACCACCTGAGATGTTGATCACCACCTGCGGAGGTCTGTCCTGCAAACCCTGACTCAGCAGCGGATTAATAAATACACTCAAACATGCCAGAGTACAGTGAATTGAGTGGGCTAGGGAGGTCTTCAGCTGCTCTCAGAGAGTGATTGCAGCTAACCAACCCCTACTTGCTGTTCCCCCTTGCATTTATTCAATATAGATTTAAAAACAGAGGTTCTAAGTCAACAGGCTTGTGGATAATTAACCTGGTTAAAAAAATGATAAAATTTATGAATGATAAAAGCTTTTGGTTCCTGGGCACAGAACAAACACCATTAACGGGTAATGTCCCTTTGACCTCCCCCTGAGAGGACCATCTGGCACCACAGTTAGTGAGTTATTCAGATAAACTCCCACACATACCCTAACTATTTGCTTTTCTCATTAACTAAATGTAGAGGGGGTTTCAACTGCCTTCAGCCGATGCAAACCCCTCAGTCTTCAAAGGAGGTTTGTTACTATAACCTATAACTATCTCTTAATATTTTGCCACCATCCTGAGTGAATTCCCGCAGATAGGCTATACCCTTCCTAGGCCAGCTCTGTGGAGGGAGACACACCCTGCTCTCCGACCAGCCCATTAACTCAGGAGTATCACCCCTCTCAGTTTTCTGAGAGTGAGGGCTCCCTGACTGCTTGGGTGCTGCCCAAGCTGACAAGTCTCAACCAGCTAGGAGCAGCAGAGACAGGTAGAGTCACCCAATCTGCCATCTTCATGCCTCCTAGGAGCATGCAGAGCTGTGCTTGCCGGCAGAATTCAGGCAGGGGTGGCTTTGCTGTGTTGAAATCCCTAACTGGTGTGTCTCGCCTGGCCAGCAGGAGCCAGGGTGGGTGGAATCACCCAATCCACCATCCAGGTGCTTCCTGGGAAAACCTGGGGCTGTGCCTGCCGGCAGAGTTCAGGCAGAAGCAGGCCCGCTGTGCTGGAAGCCTCAGCAGGCATGGCCTCCCTGGCCATGAGCAGTGTGGATGGGTGGAGTCACCTGATCCACCATGCAGGTTCCTCCTGGGGGAACACAGAGCAGTGGCTGCTGTGCTAGAAGCTGGTGCCGAGTCTTATCTGATGAGGAGGAGTGGAGCGATCTTACTGCTCCCGGGCACCTTAACTGGTATTCCCAGGCACCATAACTGGGGATATGGCAGCAGGGCCTGAGCTGCTCCAGGGTCCAAGGGCTGTGGAGGCCCCTGTGGACTTGAGAATTTGCCTCCACAAAAACTCTGGGTGGTTGTCTGTATCAGTGTAGAAGCCCAGGTTGGGATTGGAGGATTCTTCCATTCCCAGGATTGAATAGGTGCCTGTGGGAAGTGTGGGTCCCCAGGAGGCTCTCATTCACTCTCCCTTTCCCAGTGGTGGGAGCTTCTGGCTGCACTGACCTCAGATGGGCTGCAACCTAGCTTTTCTCTTTTCTGTTCTCAGTGTCCCCTTGCTCTCTTCATAGATCCCAACATGGTTTCTTAGACGACTGGCTTGCAGGGTCAGTGTTTACTTGCCACTTTTGTTCCTGTCTGTGACAGTGGCACATGCTAGCTCCTCCTAGTCCACCATTCTGACCCACTTCTGATGTGAAACTTTATAATGAATGACTCCATTTTGTTTTGGCCTGCCGGAGCCTAGTATAGGAGCTCAGTCCAAATCAATGACCTCCCATAAATGTTATTTAACATTGTGAAGAAGATATATATATCTTCTTCATATATATATGAAATATATATGTTTCATATATATTTATTAATATATTGATATATTTATCAAATATGTACATTTGAAATGGCTTTCCAATTATCACAGCACCACTATAAAAACACTGTGTATGTTTTCCCACTGACTCGAAATATCGTATCTTCATTCTATGCTTACTTCACACATATAAATATATGTATTTATACATACATGTGTGTTTGTTTCTAGATTTCCCTTTATTTATTGTTCTTTGGATCAGTACCACAGTTTAATAACTGTAATTTACAGTATGATGATATGTTTGATAGTGTGTAAGACAGGGTACTGGTCCGTGGCCTGTTAGGAACCAGGCTGCACAGCAAGTGGTGAGTGGTGGGCAAGTGAGTGAAGTTTCATCTGTATTTATAGCCACTCCCTGTCACTCCTATTACCACCTGAGTTCCACCTCCTGTCAGATCTCTGAGGGCATTTGATTCTCATAGGAACATGAATCCTATTACAAACGACACATGTGAGGGATCTAGCTTGCATGCTCTTTATGAGAACCTAATGTCTGATGATCTGCCACTATCTCCCATTACCCACAGAAGGGAACGTCTAGTTGCAGGAAAACAAGCTCAGGACTCCCACTGATTCTACATTATGGAGAGTTGTATATATATTCTACATTATGGAGAGTTGTATAATATATTTCGTTATATATTACAATGTAATAATAATAGAAATAAAATTCACAACAAATGTAATGCGTTTGAATTATTCCAAAACCACTTCCCCAACCCTGCTCTGTAGAAAAATTATCTTCTACAAACCAGTGCCAAAAAGTTTGGGGACTGCTGGTATAGGACACATTACCCATCTTTAATCTTCATCTTAAAAAATGTTCATGGGGATTTGAATTAATTTATTTTCTCAGAGGAACTTTAAAATGCACTTTTCAAGAGTGAAATCAAGCTCTGTTGTGGTTTGAACTGGGATTGAATTTACTGCAGAGAATGGTTGTATTGAAAATATTGAATTTCCCATCCAAGTAATAATCAGGCCCAATCCTGCTTAGTCCTATGATCAGAAGAGATCAGGCGTGTTCAGGGAGGTATGACCATTGTCCATTCTTTGTCTTTAAACCGTGTCTCCTCTAGATATCATATACTTGAGTCTTGATTTTTTTTTTTTTTTTGAGAGGGAGTTTCACTCTTATTGCCCAGGTTGTGGTGCAATGGTGTGATCTCAGCTCACTGGAACATTTACCTGCCAGATTCAAGAGAATCTCCTGCCTCAGCCTCCCAAGTAGCTGGGATTATAGGCATGCACCATCATGCCCGGTTAATTTTGTATTTTTAGTAGAGATGGGGTTTCACCATGTTGGTCAGTCTGATCTCAAACTCCTAACCTCAGGGGATCCACCTGCCTCGGCCTCCCAAAGTGCTGGGATTACAGGTGCAAGCCACTGCGCCCTGCCAAGTCTTAATTTTTTTATCCCATCTGAAAATCTATCTTTTAAATAAAGTGTTTAGTCCATATTCATTTAAAACAAAATGAAATATTGAATCTCCTTACACAGGGATATATTTCTCAAACTATTATTTTAAATTCAACATATTTGCATCGTATATATATATATATATATATATATATAATTTTTTTTTTTGAGACAGGCTGCTCTGTCGTGCAGGCTAGAGTGCAGTGGTATGATCTCAGCTCACTGTGGCCTCAGCCTGTCAAGTAGCTGGGATTACAGGTGTGTGCCACCACACCCAGCTAATTTTTGTATTTTTAGTTGAGATGGAGTTTCACCATTTTTGCCAGGCTGGTATTGAACTCCTGGTCTCTGCCAGTCTCGGCCTCCCAAAGTGCTGGGATACAGGCATGAACTGGCATGTCCAGCTTGCATCCTTTATATTTTTTCTTAAGTTTCTTCCTACATTTTTTATAAGTTGTTATTGTGAAGAGATTTTTTTCCATTAGTTTTTCTTACCAATTATAGCTAAAGAAAAGCTACTGCATAAATGAGAGTGGTCTGTATGTGAGTGCTGTTGTTATGTTAAACTTCAAGTTTTGCATTATGCCAGCCTTGAGTATTAGATGTGTTTATCCCTGCTAGCCTACTATAACCTCTACTTGGTCTATATGTATACTCTGTATAACCTAATTTTAAAAAAAATATATATTGCTCTAACATTTGGACATCTGTCTTTGCATTGGTCTAATATGTTTACAAATTAACTATCTTCAGAATCCCAACAATATATCTAGACTATCTCATTTGCAAATGATGATAAACTTGCATCTTCCTTTCTGACAGTATGTCTTTTATTTTTCTTATCTTACGGCATTGACTAGAACATTCTAGATATATATATATTTTTTTGAAACAGACTCTCTGTCACCAGGCTGGAGTGCAGTGGTGTGATCTCAGCTCACTGCAACCTCCACCTCCTGAGTCCAAGCGATTCTCTTGCCTTAGCCTCCTGAGTAGCTGGGACTACAGGTGTGTGCCACCATACTCAGCTAATTTTTTTGTATTTTTAGTAGACACGGGTTTTCACCATGTTGGCCAGGATGGTCTCAATCTCCTGACCTCATGATCTGCCCACCTCAGCCTCCCAAAGTGAGCCACCACGCCTGGCCTCCAGTGAATTTTAAAAATCACAGATAATAGCTATCCCTGTCTTATTAGTAAAGTTAACAGAAATAGCTTTAATCTTATATTTCACTCTTAAGTACAATGTATATTGTTCATTTCTGGTACAAAAATTTGATGTTATGAAGGTAGTTGTCTTCTAGTTTACTAAAAATTTATTTTAAGAGTCAGGAATTAATACTTAATTTTATAAGATTTATTTTTTCATCTACAGCGATGATTATTTAACTTTTTCCTTTTGTTTGTTGATGTATAACAATTAACATAATATGAAACCATTCTTACTTTCTCTTGAGCATTCTCACTTTTGCTCCTGGGCTCCCGGCCCTTCCAGCTCCTGCCCTTCTAGTGAGGCATATTCTGTTACGTCCTCAGTATTGCTATCCATTCCATTTCTATTCACTGTTTTCCAGTACATAGTGTTACTGAATGAAAAGTTCCATACCAATCAGATTTACTTAACTTTGTGTGAAACTTCCCCCAGATATTAACATAGCTCCTGCCCTCACCTTCTTCAAATCTTCATTCAAATTTAACCTGCTCAGTGAGGACTTTCCTGACAAACTCTGTAAATTTCAGTCTTCTCATCACCTCCATCCCATTGCTTTACTTTCTTCTCAAACACTTATCATATCCTAACACCCTGTGTAACTTATTTTAGTTCATGTATTTCTCCACCAGGCTATAAGCTGCAAGAGAGTCAAGTCTTTTTCTCCCTTAATTTTGTCCTTCTCATGAAAATGAAAGCCTGGCTCTAAACTCCAGCACCCTAAATTCTTAAAGATGCCTCTGATTAATCACCTAGACCTAAAACTTTTCAAACGGTATGTCAGCAGGGAGAATGTAGAGGGAATCAATTTTCAGATGCTTGCCTTCCAGAGGAACTCCTTCTCAAAACCAATGTGCCAAAAATAATGTGCCTGTGTTCACATCAGCCATTCTTCCACCTTTTAAAATAAAGGCACGTCTTACACATCCTAAGTCTTTGAATGGAGCATTTGTAAGTATAAAATTCTCCAAGGAACTAAGCAAAGAGATAGACTTCTTTAATGACTAATCAAGACATAATAAGCACTTAGAGCTTCTTGACTTTCCCAGTTGTATATTAATTTTGGATCAGAGTAAAGCTAAGCAGAGCTTTTTTGTTTTGTTTTGTTTTTTGAGACAGTGTCCTGCTCTGTCATCGCCCAGGTTGGAGTTCAATGGCGTGATCTCAGCTTCCTGCAACCTTCGCTTCCCAGGTTCAAGCAATTCTCCCACCTCAGCCTCCCGCATAGCTGGGATTACAGGCACCTGCCATCATGCTCAGCTAATTTTTGTATGTTTGTAGAGATGGGGTTTCTCCACGTTGCCCAGGCTCGTCTTGAACTCCTGACCTCAGGTGATCCACCCACCTCAGCCTCCCAACATGCTGGGATTATAGGCGTGAGCCACCACACCTGGCCAAACAGAGCATTTTAACTTAAGGATTCTGCTATGTAGTAGTTGAGTAGTGGGAGTAATGAAAATTCTCATTTACAAACTTTGCCTCTCCTATCTTCTGTCTGCTGAACCCCCACAAAAGGCATTACTCTGGAAGAGTGCCACAAGAACAAAGCAGAGTCAATGAGGTATATTAAATGCTTTTTTTAAAAAGCCGCTTCTCACATACTTAAGCAATTATTTTCAGCTATTCTTAGTATTCATTTCTAGGATTTGTAATTATTTGCAAATAAAAGCACTTCAAAAATGCAAAGCTGAATAGGTTAGTATATTACTTACCTATTGCTACACAATAAATTACTACAAACTTAGCAGCTTAAAATAACAAACATTTATTATTTCAGTTTCTGTAGGTTGGGAGCCACAATTTAGCTGAGTCTTCTGCTTAGAGTCTCACAAGATTGCCATCAAAGTGTTAGATGGGCTGCATTCTCATCTGAAAATTGGACTGGAGAAGGATCCACTTCTAATCTCACTCAGGTTATTGACAGAATTTGTTTCCTGGCAGTTGTAGCACTGAGGGCCTTGGCTGCTCACTGTCTGTCTGCTAGGTGGGACCAGGATCAGCTCCTAGAGGCCACCAGTTGCTCTTAGAGGACATCAGTAGTTCCTTGCCTCATACATGAGCTTCTTCAATGTGGCCAATTACTCCTTCAAGGCAGCAGGGAGAGGCTCTAGCAAGATAGTGAATTTCCTAGCAAGATAGAGTCTTCTATAACATCAGTAATCCCAGAATCACTTCCCATCACCTTTGCTATATTGTATTGATTAGAACCCAAGAGAAGAAATTGCACAAGGCATGGGCTCCAGGTGGCAAGGATCCTGTGGAGTCACCTCATACATTGTCTACTACAATTAGTAACTGACTCTTAATGTAACTGAGATACTTTCTTGAGCTACCCAGTTTTTCAAAATTTAGTGAATAAACATTATTTATAAAATTTATAAAATTTTATAATTTTTTTTTTTGAGACTGGGTTTCACTCTGTTGCCCAGGCTGGAGTGCAGTGGTGTGATCTTGGCTCACTGCAATCAACTTCCACCTCCCAGATTCAAGCAATTCTCCTGCCTCAGCTTCCTGTGTAGCTGAGATTGCATGCCCATGCCACCACGCCTGGCTAACTAAAAATTATTTATAAAATATATATAAATTAAATATAAATAAATATGTATATATTAAAAATAAATAAATATAAATTTTTAAAAAGTATTTATTACAATTTACAAAGCTTTTAAAGAATTGGTGTATATCATTCAATATGGAGTTATAATTTAGTTTTATCAAATCATAGAATGAAATATTTACTGCAATTATAATCCTGATCTTATTTCATCTTATTAAATGTTCAGTATTTTCTATCTCCTTTTAAAAATATATACATGAGGCCAGGTGTAGTGGCTCATGCCTGTAATCCCAGCAGTTTGGGAGGCTGAGGTGGGTGGATCACCTGAGGCTGGGAGCTCAAGACCAACCTGACCAATATGAAGAAGCCCCATCTCTACTAAAATTACAAAATTAGCCAGGCGTGGTGGCAGATGGCTGTAATCCCAGCTACTCGAGAGGCTGAGGCAGGAGATTCACTTGGACCTGGGAGGCAGAGGTTGCAGTGAGCTGAGATTGCACCATTG